GGATTGGATAATTTTATAATTTTTCTCTCTCTTTATATGCAAGATTGGGTAACTTGAAATGTAAAGAATGAGGCTAGTAGTTTGAGCACAAGGAAAACCCCATGGTAGAAGTTTTTTGCACATGTCAACTAAAACATCTAGAAAGTGAGATGTAAGAAGATTTATTGAGGTGACAAGAATATTGCCTTTTTTTTGCACTCAATAAACAATCACCAATATAAAGCTTCAATCTAGAGTGAATTTTTTGAGTAGAGGCATGCTTAAATTTGAAGCCAAATGGTGTCCTCTAAAAACAAGTTAGGTTAGTCTTAACATTAACAAAGTAGTCAAGGTTGTTGCTTGTGACGGCATTGTACATAATGCGAAAATAAATTGGATAACAAGTTCTTAAAAATATCTTAATTACCATCCTAAAATTGCAACTGAACTCTTGGTCATTTTAAAAGGTTTTAAGTTTTGTTGGAATGCTAAATTTATAAGAATTAAAATTCATTTAGGTTTTATGAAAACCCTTCCACTTATCTAACACAACATCTTTGACTATCATCTCCTATCATAAAATATTAAGAAAATTAGGAATTTTGTTATGCAAAACTAAATGACCATTTTCAAACATGTGTTCAAAGAAACTAATAAATGCATTGATATGCTAGCACACCACACATCTAAAGACAATTTAGATCTTATTTTTAATCATCCATCTTCAGAATGTAGAATCTTCTTGAAATCTAACATAAATTTTTTTTTATCTCTTTGCACAATTTTTGTTTGTCACCATGTATTAACAAAAAGAGGTAGACATGTATCCTTCCCAATACACAGCATTATCATGTGGAATAAGATTTAGAACTTGATTATGAGAGACTGAATTGCAACTTTTAATCACATTCTTGGATAAATGAATGTGTGTGTGAATTAGCTTGCTCAACATACATAACATTTCAAAGGTGTTCTTGTTTGTTTCTTTGTTTTTTGGGCAAACAATAAGGCTAAAAGCCCAACGAATTCAAAATTGTCTTAATCTTGACCAACATTATTAGAACTGAACTCAATTCAAATTAGTTGGGACAATGGTTCACTGAATTGTGGTCAAACATGATTCGACTGATCTTAATTAAAATAATTAAAATAATAAATTTTAAAAATGATGCATGAAAAATAAAAATATTTTAGACAATATTTCACTATATTCTTATCCTAAATATCAAATTTCTAGATGGTTGCACCAACATTATGATAAATTATTTATTATCAATTACAAATAATCAAAATAATCATTTATGCCACAATAATTGTCTAATCAAACTAACATAATCTTTTATTATTAACTAAAATTATTAATAAATCATATATATATATATGCAAAACACTAAAAAAAAGCCAATCACAAGACAAATAGCAATATAAAATAACAATTTTTGGTCATTGAGGTTTTTTCTCTAAAAAATATGAAAACAAAGTTTTTCATCAATTTTACCGGATCCTAACCGATTCAATTTTTACCAGTTTTGGAAGGTTATTCTAACCAAAACCGGTCTGACGACATTCATCTTTACTCTTCCAAAGAGGTCATTGATTTTGGTTCCATGTACCCCATCGACAGCAATCAGGCCTCTTCCCCACCTTTTTCTTTGTTTTTTTTTTTTTGGGGGGGGGGGGTGGGGGCAAGAACAACATAACATGCCAATTCACTTTACTGTCACTTAAGCCGATGGGTTAACTTCTCTTGTTATCAGCTCCAGAACTTTAAATACAACTTCGTCACTTTCTTCACCCTCGATGTTGAGTTTTGACTTTTCTTTTAATCTCATTTCTACAAGTAAACCCACATGTACCCTGATTTATCTTATTTTCCCTGATCATAGCTTGTCTTGGGATCTTAAGATGAAGGGAATTATTAGTAAGGCAAGCTTTACATTCTTGGTGCATAAATGCCTCAATTGGTTATTGTCCTGTGTTTTGACCCATTTTACACCAATTGTCAGTTAAGCCATTCTTTTTTATGTCTTCTTTTAGAGAAACCATACTTTTTTTCCAGCTACGTTACCCACAAGTATCCTCCTATTAAGTCTATTAAATATTATTTTTTATGTTGTTTATTATTAACCTCATATTTCCTCATTATAGTAAATGAAAAATCATTCCAAATCACTTTCTCCTTTTTGTGCTGAAATAAAAAATCAATCCAACATTTTGGTGATTCCTTACAAAGTGATACAGCAACAATAAATTTTATTCCACTAAGTAGAGTCAGCTATATAGATTACACGACACTATTATGTTCTATCATTAGCCAGACCTTTGGGAATATTGTTAACTAAGGATCTAAGATGTTTCATCCAACAACTTCTTTCTTTACAAAATGATAATGCCAAAAAAATAGTTTTCATATTCGTTGCAATCATACATGATTCAGAACTGTATTATTCACCAACTACTGGTGTTGATACACCATGTCAAAATGGAGCTAGTGTAAACAATTACTCATTCTACTAGTCCATTTGACAACACTGCCCCTATTGCAGAATCTGCTCAACTCCCACTGTTCATGTTTACTCACCGAAAAGAAACTGGTCTTGCCGATCCAAAGTCATGTTCTTTAACATCCTCTTTGCCGCCAGACTTAGTTTTGGATGTCCCTGACCCTAGTCTTCACCTTCCTATTGCTCTACAAAAATGTAATCCCCCTAGATCATAACACAGGGCATTTTCTAGAAGCTTTGTTTGGCCGAAAATATAAGTTATTGGGTAGGTTATACATATACATTCCACTTGAGTAATTGATCAACGGGTTTTGAACAAGTCAAATATTACATTCCACTCAAGAATACGATTGAAAAGATGTAAAAATTATCAAAAAATCAAGATTTTAACCAACTTTTTACAGAAATGTAAATTAGTTAACAATGACTTATATTGTGCTTCAGAGGGAGTAAATGTCAATAAACTGACTCCATTTACTCATTTGTCTCTTATGACCAGTTGCCACCTTTATCTAACTCTTTTATAGCAACTCTAGACACTCTTTCTATTCCAAAATCTGTTCATGAAGCATTATCTCACTCTAGTTGGTGTTTTGTTATGCATGAGATAATCATCCTTGATGATAGTAGATTTGTCTGTGGCATGAAGATTATATTGGATGAAAATGAGTGTTTACCATGAAAGTCAACCTCAATGGCCAGATAACTCGCCTTAAGGTGAGTTGTTACTGTTAAAGAGTCCAAGTTTGGAGTAAGGGTAGCGGTGGCACAAAGAAGGAGAAAAACATTGATATCCCATCTGAAGATACGAGTATCCAAGGAAGACAAATTACCCAGGCTTAACTTGGTTACCTGGGAGCGAACATCCTAAATGAAACAAGTTCTCCCAAAACTCATGGATTCAACACAGAACAAGAATTCGGAAGGAAATGAGTTGCATAAGGGATATCACCATTAATGCTAAAAAATGGCCATTTGATTAATCAATAAGCAAGTCGTAGAGATAGCGTCGACCCAAAATGGCTAAGGAAACTTAAATTGAAAGATAAGTTCTTGTGCAACTTTAAGTAAATTTATACCCTCATGTGCCAAAGCAAGAAAGTAAGACCAAACCAGGTGCGGTTCAAGGCACACATGGCTGTAGTTAATCACTAAAGTGAGACCAAATTTTTATAGGCCTCTATCAACAGATACGAACTTGGACCAAGCTTCCATAACAGGGCTTCTTAGTAAGTCAATTGGCAATTTATAATCATTGTCTGCATAAGAGTGGTTTCATGATGTAGTCACCCTAACATGTTTACATTCTAACTTTTCTTAGTCAGAGATATTTCACTTTTAATCTTCTCTCAGAAAATTTTGACATTGATAGATAACTCTACAACACCAATAGATGTTTAAACAACTAAAAGCAAGGAATCAGTTGACAAATCCAAAATTTTTAGTATAACTAAGAAAGCATTTATCCTAACCTGTTCACCAGGAGCATAGTCACGATCAGCTATAACCTGCATATATTAACATAGCAAAAAGGATTGAATCAGAACATAAAAGAGGATCGTATGTTTGGGGATAAAATATATTAGAAAGAAACTAATCACATTATGTATCAAAGGACTTGATCCAAAACTTGGAGCCTCCAACGCATTATAAAAAAAGATTATTATGCACGTCATGACCCACTCTTTTGACCACACCATTTCAAAAGAAAAGGACGAAAGAGCATCATTCCAATCACTTTCTTCAAGCAAATGACCATCAATCAGGTTTGGACCCTTTCTGCAAAAGAAAGCAATCATCCTGCAAACGCATTCCTCTCCAGAAGGCAACATCATACGTCTCAACATGATTTCCATCTGACTTCACCATCTAGCATGATGCTTCTCCAGATGATATTACAAAGAAAATAAGAGCTGTTAAAAAAAAAAAAATCCACAAACCTGTTGAGCACATCCAATTTTCACCGTATAGGATTCATCAGAAAATAAATTATGGGACCAGAGCCACAGAGCCAATGTGTATTTAACATCACTTAACCCAAAAAAAAAAAAAAAACTAGCAGTTTTGCCTTCAAAGGGTCACTGAAAGCATGGAATCACTAAACTGCCATTGATAGCAACTTTCCCATGAGCCTTATGCAACCTGATGTCAATGTAATCACCAATAAGAAATTGAAGCATACTGGTGAACTGCAGTAAGAAAATCCGCAAAAGTAATTATAATAACAATCATTCACTAATATCCCAAAAATATATCACTCACCAAGTTTCTCAGAAAGACATACGTATATCCCAAATGCATTGGCATTAGTTTGTGCTCCGGTAAATCATAACGTTGCAACTTGCAACATCCATTTCACACATACTTCCACTAACATTTTTCCTTTTTCATTTTTTGTTTTGTGGGGTAAAAAGAAATCCCCTTCAGTTTGCACGTTTTATGAATTCTACAACCATCACTTTAGCTGTTTGTGAGGACATTCTGCCCTTTCGCTTGAATTAGTGACACATCAAGAAGTCTTCAAACACAACATAATATTTATAAATCGAAGTTATTCTAATATACTTTTCTAGACAAAAAATTGTAGTACAGATTTTCCAACTATCCTGCATCATTAAGCAGAAGACTTTCTAGCTACACAATTAAAATCTTTTTCTCTTCACTCTTGAAATATCATCAAAGCAATCATCTCTCCAAACATCCTGCCCCCTATTCCTGTAATTACCTTCCTGCTCATCTATATTTCTTGTTCTTCTAGGGGGCATATTTGCTAGCCTGTTCTTGATATGCCTGTCAAAATCCCTTTCTCTCAAATTGCTTCTTTCTTGGAATTCTGAATCAGCTGCACAAAATCTGTAGTGTCTAGGCCCATCCTCTGCATCAATATCAAAATTCTCACGGCCACTATCATTATAAGGAGGCCTAAATGATCTAACTGGTTCCCGTCTGTCAACATACCTTCTTTCATCACCATTTCCTTCACTATTTAGTTCAAATTGTTGACCAGAATGCATAGGACCTCCAAAGTACTCATCATTATCTGCCCAATCTTGGGGCTCTACAGCATCAAATCTTCTGTTTCTAAACAAAATTCGACCAGATGTACCCCTGTTAGTTATGATAGACCTGGGATAACCACGACCTCTTCCAGAATCAAAATCCCTTGTACCATTAGAAGGATGAGACATATATGAAGGAAAGGCATGCCTCTTGACCACTCTTCTCTCCCTAGAGAAAATTGGACCATCAAGGGATCTCATTCTGTCAACCCTGTATCGTCGATGGGCCAATTCAGGATGTCTACTAAACCCATTTGGTGATTCTCTAGGAGATCTTTGGGGAGATGACCATGGACCAGGTGAACGACTCCTAGACCTGATAGGAGACTTGGAATGAATTCGAGGAGGACCCCTTCTCTGAATGAAGTTCCTAGTTCCCCGTGTAAATCGGCCATCTCCTCTCTCAAATGGTAGGGGACGTGAAAACATAGGGTCCAAAGTATCCTCAGGGTAACCTCTCAAAAACTTCTCACCATCCCTCATACTAGCAAAGTCAGAACCATCATCTCCAACACATCTACTTGGGCTCGTTGTCCTTGGAATTCTATGCCCCATTTGCTGCAGGCTCTCTCTCCCCTCTGGAGGCCTTCTCCTCAATGTAATATGACCACTGACTAGTCTCTCATCATTCAAGGGCTTCCTATCCAACCGATTGTTACCAACAAAAGAACCATCATGCAAACATTATTGTAGTCAGATTCAGTATCATGAACAGCAGATACAAATCTATGCCTAGGGCCACCAAAATGACTTGGACCATTATAAAATTCACCAGCAAAGTCACGATCAGATTTCCATTCACCTCGACATGTGTCCATCCGCCCATTAATCCTCCCTCTACCACGCACAAAACCTAGTCTTGAGTTTCTAGGTGAAATATCTTGATGCCTTTCTCTTGAAAATTTGCAAGGACCATCAATGTAGATATCATCTCTGAAAATGAAAACAGGAATACGGAAATGTGAAGAAAAGGAGAAAGGCAAATGTACTAGGAAAAGATTAACTATTAACACACAAGGAGGAAGGCAAAAGTGTTAGTGAAAGGGAATACAAACAACATATAAGGAAGAAAGACAATAGGATATACAGATATACCTTCCTCCATGTAATTTCTCATGATGAAATGCGTCAGGTAATACATCACTTCCAGCTTGTGATGACAATCGCCTGCCTGGTATGGACCTGGATTTAGTAGGAGATAAGGAACTAGCAGCTTGGGTCAAATTTATAATTCTTCCTTGATTACCACCATTACTGACATCCTTGCTTTCTTCATCAATATTTAAAGCTACTTCTATCTTTGGCAAATCTGAGGCAGTTTCTCTTACCATGCCCAAGTTCTTGATAACCTCATCAGCACACAGAGCAATATCTACTTCATTGCTTCCATTATTGCCTTGGTCAGAAAATAATTTGGACCCTGTGGCATCAAGCACTTTATTCCTTTCAGAATGATCTAACGACCTTATTTGAGGGCCAACAGTTAACTTTTCAGCTTCCAATGACTCTTGTAGACACACAGTTTTGTCAGCAACATTATCAGACATATTGATTGATTCACTGTCAATGCCATCTTTACCCCAATCTATTTTGCTACGAGTAAGAGTTCTATTGTCGTTTTCTTCAATAAGAGATGATGCGGGAAAATCACCACTTAACACTTCTTTGTCAACCTGTTTGCCATCATCACAATTACTAGAAACCATACGTTCTACTTCTCTCACCTCACAAACAGATTTTTCTGCTACAGAATGCTTTAATGGTTCACGAACCTCACCATCTTCATAATCATCGTCCTCTGCACAATGCTTCTCTATATCCATGGCAACAGTTAAAGAATGAGTGCCATCCGACTCATAATCATAACAATAAGAATCATCCTCTAGCATATCAGCTGATAATGTTATCTTTTCATCGTCACTAACACCATCTTCACCACTGCACAGTGGATCTGAGGGGAGGTCATTCGTGAGTTTCAACCAGCATCCCTCAGCATCATCTGCATTTTCCTCATCACCTCTTGCACAATCCTTCATGACAGGACCAGTTGATTCTGCATTATCAACCATAGCTGTGGCAACTGTTTCTGAACGAACCTGCTTGTCACCTAAACAATTTCCCTGAGATGCTTTTTCATCAGTGCAAGCTTCATATGTCGAAGCATGATTATCTAGATGGTTAACTATACTTGCATTGCTAGTCAACTGTTCTGAACATATGGCTCCCACAGGAGGACAAGCTGTACCTGCAGAAAATGGAAGGGATTCTATAGTAGGAATAGCAGAGTTTGATTTTTGTTTAACAGATAATCTAGAAGGTTCTCCAGAGTATTTCTGAAGACATGAAGCAAAGCAAAGATTACGAGAGTTGACATATTTATACTGTTGACCATACAGTCTGGATGAAATCATGGAAGTTTTGTTTAGATTGTCTCTAGTGGTGTGCTTTAGGGAAGCACTGCCAGTTGGTTCCATCCCAGGGGAACACAGAACATTATTATCATTACGTGCACTGCCAGCAATTTGCAGCCCAGAACCAGAAGTAGATGTTTTACCTGAAGTAGCATCACTCCCAGGTTCTTCCCATGCATCCATTGTAGAATTCAGATCCCAGTTTCCCCTATTAGTTGTAGCATCATCATTAAAACTCTTGGAACTACATTCATCCTTGCTCAGAGATAACTTCAGTGAAACAGACGCTACTTTCTCAGTTTTCTGGAAACTCTCACCAATCTCAAGACTTGTCACAGCTGGGGATAAGTGCTCCTTAAAATCTAAAGATAAATTCATACTGGCACGACTCTCCTGTTTATCTTTCTCTTCAACACTTAGCTTGCTAATCTTGGATCCTATATTAAGTGCAAGACTTTCTTTGGCAGCCAACAAGAGTTCGGAATTCTCCTTCACATGGGTTCCCAATTTTTCTTCATAATTCTCACTAGCAATCAACTTCTCTTTGTTGTCCGCATCATCCAATGCTCTTGAGTGCGTTGCAAGATCTGGTTCCTCCAATTTAGGGCTAACATAATTGGAACCGTTTTGGGCAAAGTTAGCATTTGTAACATCCGAAGTTGCATTCTTCTCTTCAAATGCAGGGTTTTTATTGGTACCAGATAACACAGCAGAATTGGTAGAAAGGGTTGAAGCCAGTGTTGTGCTTGAATTTTCCCCATGCAATGCATTGTTTACTTCCAGAAGTGAAGAAAGTTTTTCCAAAGAAGATGATGCTTGAACCGAAGGGAGCCTTCTTTTCTTGATTGGTGCATCTACAGCATTAGCATTTGAAACAGTTGATCCTTGAGGAATGCTTGAATGTTCTTTCCGTATTGATTCAGTTTCTTCAGTAAGTGAATCATGTTTTCCAGACAAAGGTGAAAAGGTCGGGATCAAAGGGAACCTCCTTTTCTTGATAGGCACAGCTGCAATAAAACCACTAAACTGCCCATCATAAGATTTAACCCCAGTCTGTCAATAGAAGATCAAGTAATCAATATCCAAAAAAGAACAAATTGGTATGGTTCTCTAATCGTAGGTAGCTGTAAATCAGAAAGGAAATAAACACCTCTTCACGTCCTGAAACAGGCATGATTCCAAAGCTTGCCCAAATGCCACAACCCTTTCTAGGAGCAATATTATAAATCAATAGCGAAACCAACTTTCAATACAACTTTTCAAGTAGATTAGTATTCTAAACTGAATATAACGTTGGTAGACATATCTTCCTTCCAAAAGCTTCTCCTAGACAACTAAATTTATTTTTGAGGTGTTAGTCACACTTCAAAGAGCGTAAAAAGCAAATAACAGATCGGCAGGCAGGAGAACCTGCAAAATACAAAACATAAAACTGCTATATCAGAAAATCACAACACTGGAAAATCAAAACCAAACAAAAATTGAGAGCAAGTCAGGCACAGCACCGACAAATCTAAGAGCAGGAATGAGAGCAAAATCAATTAGATCCAAAACTAACCGACCACACAATCAAAACAGACCGCTAGATCAGTGAATACTTACACACAATTTTAAAACCGTGCATGCAGAGTACACTGAACACATGTTCAAGGAGAATATCAGACTGACTAAGGAAAGAGTAAAGTTTTTCCTCAATAGCGAGGAGAATAAAAAGTAATTAAAAACATCAAATGAAAAGGGGGGGAAGTGATCTGGATATCTCTGGACTCCGTGTCTCCATCGAATCTTGTGAAACCTCAAAGAAATGTAAAATCAAAGTCAAATAAAATCCGCGGAGAAGGAGAACAAAAACATAAGGGGACCCCGATAACAGCAGCGTGGAGAACACGAAAAACATCCCAAAAGAGACGAAATCAAATCTACACCTATAAACAAAAAATGGAGCGCGAAAAACGGAGACATGAGGGGTTATTCAACGAAAAATACCTACAATCACAAGCCATGAGAAACAAAGCACAAAAATTGGGGAATTTCCGATCCTGATTGAAGATGAAGCAGAAGGAGCAGGCGACGTCGCTGAAGACAGAAAATTACCCAGAAGGAAAGAAAACGTTGAGACGTATGTTTTGGTCAAGCTCTGTAACTTCGAGGAAAGGAAGCGAGGATTGATCAGGACTTGGTGACGAACACACAAATATAAGCGCGCGCGCGCGCGTGGTGGGTGACAGGGGAGGGGGGGGGGGGAAATCAATGTAAATTTGGTAATATTTATAAGACATTTTTTAAAAATAATTTTTTATTTAAAATATAAAATATTTTATAATAATTAAATTAATTTTTTTAATTTTATTTCTTTTTAATTAGTGAAAAATATTTAATATAATTATATTATTATTTAAAATTAAAATTAAAAATAAAAATATATCTCATCCTCTTATAATATTAAAAAAATTACATAAAATGATGGAAAGTACTTTAAAAAGAAAGTATAGGTTTAGCTTGTTAACAATGAAAATAGGATAGGATTTAATTATTTTATTTGAGGAGGCCGAATCTATTTTTAATTGGCAGAGACGGATTCACGTTCAATTTGGGTTACTTCCAAATCTTCGTTGGACTCTTGATTTAAAAAAAAAATTAATTTGTTTTCTAATTCCATAAAAGCTGCAGAGAACATTCAAAAGATTATGGATCAGTTTCACCCAACTTTTTATTGACAATATTAAGGAAGTGCTCATACAAGATTAGAAGGTTTCTCATTATCACATTGGAGAAGTAAATACCCGCGCTATTGATCGGGACGCAATGCACTATGCTCAAACTACCAACAATGAATTGTTATGGAATCATCCCCTAATTATTTAGTTATTATGGGCTATGACGTTAGATTCAATTTTAGGCACATGAGTTGATTATCCTCTTGTTCTTTAGTTTTTTTTTTTTTTAAAAAAAACCCCTTTTTCCTTTGTCGATCTTGGCTTTTGCCTCCATTTATTATTAAAAAAATCACTCTAGAGAAACAATATTTTTTTGGAATTTTAAAATTTTGTGAAATAATTATCATTAATTCAAATTTTTGAGATTAAGTTATCATTCACTTATTTATGCCTCATTTTGATAAGAGCAAAATGAGGTTAGGAATTGGAGGTAGAAGCTGAATCCTCAATTTTAAATATTTGGTATGTTAGAGTCAACGATTAAAAAACCAGACCACATCCAGAATTTTGACTCAGTCAACATGTAAAAATTATTTTAAGGGTTGAGCCGAGTTGGGTTATTTTGGACCAACGGTTAGATTGAGAGCTGGAATCAAGCTGGGAATCAAATTCGATTTTCAAAAACTGAATTGTTCAAAAAAATATTTTTTTATTTTTTAGGAAATGATTAATTTTTTTTAATTATTTACTATTATATTGTATCATGTGGTCTGTTAAATTATGATAAACTTAAAATATTTAGTTTTATTTTTAAGTTATATTTATTTTTTATATTTAGATTATTATATACATATATAATTTTTTTAATTTAATTATTACGTCATCGATTTGACCATTAGTCTAATTTAGTTGAATCATGTGAACCGTTGATCTTTCTGATTTAGTATCCGATCTAGTTTTAAAAACATTGGTTAGAATTGGCTTCTCGATGGAACTAACTTTCATCAAAATTGATAAAACTGAGTTTCACATCCAACCTCATGGAACCTAATTCCATTTCCATCAAAGCCTCAAGTTTGACTTCTTGGCCCCATCACCTCCTCTCCTTGTTATCGACACTAAGAACTAGACCTGGTAACAAATAAGCTTGAAAGAAGTTAAGGCTAGCCTGAATCTGTTAAAATAATTCAAGTCAAGTCTTTTCAGATATCAAAATAACCATTTATTTTTTAAAAGATATATTTATATTTTTTAAGGTTAAGGTTTAATTTTATTCTTGTACTTATTCTCAAAAAGTGCTAGGTATATTGTACTAATAAGTGGGACAATTTTCTTCCTGAACTATTTTTTAAAAGAGCATAATTCTCTTTCTATTAGTCAATCGTTTATTCCCCCGTTTTGTGATGGCATGTCATGATGTGTGACCTATTACCCTCTCAGTCGCATGCAGGCTCTGTTCTCTCTCAGGCACATCTTCTTTCTTAGTTGCTCATTAGTCTCGACCATATCTCTGTTTTGACACCATGCGCTCAAGAGAGTCTTCAACCACTTTAATGCCAAAGGCGACAACCAAACCTCCATTTTTTAGCTTCACAACGTTCTCAAATCCCTCAACTCAAGTGTTTTTGAATCCCTGCCGATGGCATGACTCCACAGAGCTCCATGACAAGGTTCGAAGATTTGTCGTGTAGAATTAAGGAGGGAAGGTAGTTGTTTAAGTGAGAAAGAAATTTTGCTAGATTCCTCTCTAGGAAGAAATTTTAGAGAAGTTAGGATGTTTTTCTGGGCAAAATAGATTGGCATTTTCTTGCCTATTTTCAGATCAATTGGAGCAAAAAACACATTCAATTCTAGGTCCTTATGAAGTGTTTTTCTAGGCAAGGCAGCCACTGTGATTGCTCTAATTTTTGTGAGTTTACTGTTTAATTGGGTACATGGGTTTTTGTTTCATTTAGACATGCAATTATTGGGACCCATGCCTTGGGGTTTTTGTTTTGCTTTTGCTTTGCCTTCTCTTCTCTTCAATCACGCAGTACATCAATCACTTGTTCTTAAGCTGGGCTTCAAGTTTCCTAAATGGCCGAGTTTCTTTCTTGTATTGATATCCTATTTTTTTGGTGAATGCAATATCAACTCCTTGCTAAAATCGTTTTATTGGCATTCATAGCTCATAGCTTAATAACTCAATTTTCAAATGTGGTTCCTAGAACTCCCTGTTTTACTTTTGGGTAAGAAGAGTAGACATGAGAAGAAGAGCTAAAAGGAGAGCACAATTTGAATTTGCCACATCATAAGGTCAAAGCTTACAGATAGGGTGCCAATTCAAAAGATAATGGGCCCATGACACATCAGCACAAGATGGAAGAATAAATGGCTAACAAACAAATTTGCTCCTCTAACAAATAGTTTAAGGAAAAAATTATCTCATTTATTAATACAAGATGTGCAATACTTTTTGAAAATAAGTACAAGGGCAAAATTATATATTAATCCTATTTTTTACGATAATAAAAAATTAATTTCAAATTAAAAATTGAATTTCTTATAAAAAATTTGACAATTTGATCATTCAGGCCAAATCCAAATAAGCTCAAAACCTGAGAGTGTTTGAACATGCTTGGCTATAAGGTTTTTTTTTTTAATAAGTTTGAGTTGGCCCAAATAAATGCAACCTGCTTAAATTACTGACTCTATTAAGGAATGTATAATAATGATAATGATTTTGGTGGACAATGATTGATGGGTGGTGATGCTCCTTCAAACGGTAAGGATGATTTCTACAGTAGTCTTTGACAATAAGGTATGGGTCTTTAATTTTTGTAGCTTGTTACTTAAAAGAGGTTATTTTGATATGGGTCTTTGATTTTTGTAGTCGAGTTACTTAAAAAAAGTTATTTTTATTATAGTTTAATTTTTGCAATGGCCTTAGGGTAAGGGGTTGGAGGTGGTGATTTCTCCAATTATTTTTACTCTATCATATCATGGGGGCATTTGCAATGGAAGTGATGTTTAAGTCGAAGCGTCCCTTCAAACTTCTTTAACCTTAAAAGGGATTATTTTGATTTGGGTCTTTAATTTTTTAGTCGGTTTACTTAAAAAGGGTTATTTTTATTCTAGTTCGATTTTTGCAATGGCCTTAGGGTAAGGGCCTGAAGTTGGTGAAGCTCCAATTATTTTTACTTTATCATATCATGGGGTATTTGTAACGGAAATGATGTTCAAGTTGAAGCCTCCCTTTAAACTTCTTTAACCTTGAAAGATAATCATATATGGAAGGTTTTCTTTATGATGTTTGTCTTGATATTATTAGGACATACCATATATATCACTTCATAATAGCCATTAAAAAACCATTAATCCCATTAGCTCATGACAATGAACATAAGGGTTAAACAAAATGATTTTTAAATAATTAATAGTTGGGATCCCATTAACAGCCCTTTTTAAAATATTGGTTAAGCCCTACACATGATTACAAAAAAAGTTTTAAGCACTAGAGAATCATATGGACAAAATCAAAAGAAAATGATTAAAATTGAAGCAATAAAATAATTTACCCTAAATATGGGCCATACGCCTCAAGTGGAGTGTCATTTGCCGTGGCAAATGACACAAAAGGACACTTCCCTTGCTATGTCATACATTGTGGGCCACATTGCTATTATGATAGCACACGAACCAACTTTCGGCTGTGCCATTTTTCTGTCTAATGTTTGATCGGAGTGGTTCAAGTACTTATATAAAATTTATTCAATTATCTAGCTAATGACATTAGTTTCACACTAAAATAATGACCCATTTGAAAGTTGGAAACCTAAATGTACTAACGTCATGTTTCCAAACTTAACACACGTCCAAGTGCCTTAAACCCAAACCAATTGCCATTAGTTTCTAGTAAGGCTTGAACCAAGTTCAATTGATTGATAAATACCTAATAAAGAAATCATACACATAATAAAACAATTTAAACATAAGTTGGCCATATAGCCCCATTATAAATCGTTAAAAGAGACAATTTTACCAATAATGGCACTTGGCCATCCAAGACATATATATCTATATAAATTTGAGATGTTTGCGTGAACAGTACATGAACAATGATTTACTCAAAAAGCCCCCAATTTTTTCATGGTTTTTTATCTTTTGTATATTGTAAGCACAAACTGGGGGAGGTACTGTAGATCTACAATACTGATCTACAGTACCATCCCACTTTTTCCATTTTTAAAAATTTGTTACCGTTGGATGGTAGATTTACAGTACCATCTAATTTTTTTCATTTTTTTTAATTTGTTACCAATGGGTAGCCTTTTCTTTCTTTCCTTTTATTTTATTTTTAGATGGGTATGGTACATTTGATTTTTATATCTTTATTTTTTAATATGATATAGTAAATAAAAAAGAAAAAGAATAATGTGGTCCCTCTAATAAAAGAGGTACATGTGGAATCTATAAAAAATAAATTGTTGATGCAAAACTTATATTTGAAAATGAGAAAAATATTTTTTCTTTTTAATCTTAATTAATGATACCTCTCTTCTATTTTTTG